GGGGGGGGGGGGGGGGGATGTTAATACTTTATCTTAATCTATCATAGCGTTCCCCTTTTATGTTATTTATTTTAGTTTTTGTAAAATAAGATTTTCCAAGTGTGTTTTTTCCATTGATAATACTTCTCTAATATATATACAAGTCGTACCTCTATAAGTAAGGAAACATATACGTACAATTTATTACAAATAATCTGATTACTTCAACTAAGGAAAGATATCTCTATGATCTGATTGCTACAACTAAAGAAACATATCTTTGTGATTTTGTAATATATACAAATGATCACATAAGATCCTCCAATACTCCCCCTTAAGTTGGAGCATAAATTGTGGAAATGCCCAACTTGGCCAACAATTTACACTCAAGAAAAGTGTTGATTACATGGGGATTTTTCAAGGGATAAGATAAAAAAAATCCACAGGTACTTTGATTTTCTGCGGAATTTCCTACCAAAATAAATCCGTTGGAAAAACCTCCGTAGGTAATTATTAACTAGGAATTAAAATATCCCCAGGTAAATTACCTGGGGGTTTTGTATCCCCATGTAACTTGCGGATTTATCAGGAAACATCTAAAAAAAATCGCAATAATATTTTGGTAAAAATTCGTAAAAAAAGGGATTTTTCTTGGGAATTTTTGTAGGAAGAAATCCGCATGTAATTCCCCATGAAAATCCTTAAGTCCGTAGGAAATTTTGAGGTAAAAAATTATGGCCGAAAAGAATTTTCTTGTGAATATTTTCGCAGGAAAATTCTTTGAAAAGCCCCAAGTAAAATCCGCAAGAGCACATTTTCGCAAGAAAATTTCCATGAAAATGTTGCATGTAAAACCCCAACAAAATTCCCAAATAATAATTCGTAGATAAATCACCATGTAAGATTTCCAATGAAACAAAAGAAATATTTGAAATCCCTAAGAAAATCCATAAATGATATTTTCGTAGGAAAATTCCTATGTAATATTGGTAAGAAAATCCTCATGTAATTGTTTTTTATAAGGAAATTACTATATAAAATTGACGCGTTCGAAAATATTTTCCCATTAAATTTGCAAGTAATCTATGCATTTTCAAGATGTTGTTTTTAATTTATTCTAGCTTATATTCTTACAATTCAACTATATTATCATAATCATAATCATTGAACACACATCTAATATAATTATAACGAAAAGAAAACATAATTCATAACGTTAATGTAATATCATATAATCCTTAATCAAAAATTAAAATATATCAAATGTGAAACTTAATAGTCTAATGAACATCTCAATCATGATTACAGTCACTTTCATTCGCATTACCAGGGTGAGAACCACTTTTATTCACATTATCGGAGTCATCGTCACTTTCGTTCTCAGATCCTTGATTGTCTTTTGAGATGATAACTCATTTGAAGATGATGCATTGAAATTCACATACTTCTTCAATAAGTCTAATTCTTTCCTCATCTTTTTAGTTTTGCGCCACTCTTCTTGCAACTGAGCATATAAGTCAGCATTGGAAGCATCCATCTGAGATTTAATTATCTCATCAATTTCTCATTGTAAAGTAGATGTTGAATGCTTAAGTGCTTTTATAGATCGACCCAAAGAACCAAGTCCTGCAACCCTTCCTTTTTTCTTTCCACCAACAGATTGCACCTAAATATCCATTTCACTTAATTGGCTTGCTGAATTAGTGTCTCCTACCTCAGTTGATGCACTTTGAGAAACTGACAGTTCTTGTTTCTTTTTTTCAAAATTATTCTACACCAAAATAAGTTATTTGAGATATTATATAGTGCCAATAGAACATCGTTCTCAAGACAAAAAATTAAAAAGGAAAAGAATTAACTATTGTTCTTAGGAGAAAAAATATATAACACAGAGCCCAAAAATGATGAACCAACTGCTCAAATATAATGATTCAAGAACAGAAGCTGAAGCTTGGCAAAGAATGTGACTTTATGAAGCTTGTAACAAATCCACAATCTCATTCAAAGAAGAATTTTTACATCTAATACGAAGGGTAATCAAATAACTGAATATTGCAACAATGAAATAGAAATAATAGCAGACAAAGAGAGTGACCAATATTGAACAATAAAGATGCCTATTATTACTCATTACAAGAAATTTCTAAACTAATTCAGATGCTTAGACTAACTCAAAAACAAAAAGAAAACAAATAGCTACCCATATTGTAAGTCAATAATGAAAATAAAGATCTATACCAATTCTCTACCAATTCCATCAAAGTTGCATCTTAATCAATAAAGATGCCGATCACTTACTCATTAGATTATTCATATTAGTATGTATCCACTTGTAATCCTTCTTTGGACCTAAGAACTAGCAACATGCGTTAGGAATGAAACATCTGAAATAACGCACAAACTAGAATCACTTTATTTTATTTAATTCTTTGGCATCGTTGCAGATTTAGCTGTACTAGGATCTTTATTATTCTCATTGTACTCTACTTTGATGGCCAATTAGTCATAAAGTACTTGTCAAAATTATAAGTAAAGATAACTAATAACTACAACACCCGCCTTTATATATCATTAACTTCAACAACTAATAAGAAGAAGCACGCAGAAAAATAAGATGAAATTATTTTGAAAATTTATGTCTATATGAATATGATTTGGAATGATATAGACATAACTTTACAAAATATAGAAGCACTGATCTGCGAGACTCTGACTATCTTAACGGGTACCCTCTGATTAAAGGTCCAAAGAAAGGTAGAAGATGATATCTGAAGAAAATGCAGTTAGAAAATGACGGTATTCTCTTTGATGAGAGCCTACTTCACTTTTTGTTACTAATATGTATAGATTGGTCCCAATGATCAGCCTTACCACCTGACCCACCCCTTTAGTCCAACACTAAAACAGACCCCAACGGTCGAACTCTGCTGTAAGATATACCAGACTTTAGACTTACTGTCTAGTTTCAAAATGGCACTAAAACAGTTCATTTTTAAAGCATTGACATATCTGCTCATACTATTGACAGTGAGGTAATGGTTCGGAAAAAAGTAATAGAAGGAACACTTACATAAGCAGTTTCAACTTTCTCATTTATTCAACATTTTTCTTTTTTTTTGTGCGATGAGTCTGAAAATAAAATTCCGCAATTGAAGGATCTTTTCCTGTAGGTTGACTACAAGCAAATTTAATAAATACATCCATGCCACTTATAAATTCATCTGTATACCTCGCTCGACAGGGAAGAAGTCTATTTTCCATCTATTTTCGATGCTCGGAAATTTTCATTTTTTGAATCAAAAGATAAATATATTTAAAAACATAGATAATATCATTTAGGCACTAGACATAAAGCAGTTAGTGTTGGAATTCCTTGCTGCCCAAAAATTAATTTATTAGCAATATTGTGTAGTACAAATAAAATAACTCCTCAAATAAATCATCTTAGTTTTGCATATGAGATTATAATCTTCTTATTAGGAAACGAGAGTTCAATAAAATCAATACAATCAATCTCTGAATTCACACTAACAGATCAAATAAAAAGGAATCACCAGAAAGCATTCTATTAATTCGACCAAAACAAGACATCCTGACCAAATAAATAAATGGATATCTTAACTTTCTCATTTTATTCGAGTCTTAAATGTTTAGTTCTTCAAATATTAGTTAGTTTATATTGACAAAGAAATTTAGATGTCTTGGCAAAAACTATTTTGAATAATAAAGAAGAAAAATTAGAATGTAAGTCCAATCACTTGCTTTTTGTGACGATCCGGCCAGTCATCTCATGAGTTACCGCTCCGTTTTCCCCATTTATGCTTTTTTATGCTTTGTTATCTGTGTTATGTGGTATGGGTTGGTTGGATCGAATCCGAAATAATTTTGGAAAAGGGTTGAGACACTTAGTCTCTTTTGAGGAAACTTAAGTTGGAAAAGCCAATCGGATATTGACTTATATGTTAGAGGGCTCGAATGTGAGTTCTGATGGTTCGGTTAGCTTCAGGAGGTGATTTGAAACTTAGGAGTGTGATCGGAATGGGTTTTGGAGGTTCGAAGTAGATTTAGGCTTGAATTGCGAAGTTGAGATTTTGGTAATTTCTGGTTGGTAGGCGAGATTTTGATATAGGGGTCGGAATGAAATTCCGAGAGTTGCAGTAGTTCCGTTGATTTCAGTTCATTCGGACGTGGTTTGGTTGGGTTTTTGATCAAAAGCGGAATTCGGAAGATTTTGGAAAGTTTGGCTTAAATCCGATGTGTTTTGGGTGATTTGATGTTGTATGAGGTGTTTTAATGATTGGAACAAGTTTGAATAAGGTATTAGGATATGTTTGTGCTTTTGGTTGAAGTCTCGGGGGCCTCGGGGTGATTTCAGATGGTTAACGGAGAAGTTGGATTTTTGTTGCAGCTTCTGAATTTGCTGCTTCTGGTATTTTCGCACCTGCTGATTGGGGACCGCAGGTGCGGCGCCGCACGTGAGGGAGATCTATCGCAGAAGGGAAAAAGGGTCAGGTGAGCAGAGACCGCAGAAGCGGTAAGGTGACCGCATCTGCGATGTCGCAGATGCTGAAATGTCGTCGCAGATGCGATTTAGGTTGGATAAGTAACTCTCGCAGAAACGGAGAATTTAACCGCAAATGTGGTACTGCAGAAGCGGGTATTGTGCCGCAGATGCGAAAAGGGCTGGGCAGAACATATAAGTTATTTTATTTCGCGAAATTGAGTTATTTCACCATTTTTGACTTCAGCTTTGGAGCTTTTTGGGCGATTTGAAAGAGGGATTTCAAGGGAACTTCATTGAGGTAAGGGATTTGGACTTAAAACTCATTCCTATGCTATTATTCCATGGATTAGAGCTAGAAATTTAGGAAATCAAAGGTGAAATTTGGGGAAACTAAGACTTGGGAACTTAAGCCTTTAATTGAGGATTTGAAGGACCATTTGGGGTCGGATTTGAGAACTTTTGATATGTATGAACTCATGGGGAGATAAGGAACCTATTGATGTAAAAATTATTGAATTCTCATATGTGGGCCCGGGGGTCGGGTTTTGATAATTTGGGGATTTGTGCCCTTTATTGATTGCTTTCGCTTGGGCTTTGTTCCCTTAACATATTTTGACGTTCTCGTTCTGATTTTTGGATAGATTCGACATGCGTGGAGGCCGATTCGAGGGGCAAAGGCATCGCGAGTTAGAGATTTGACCGGTTCGAGGTGAGTAATGATTGTAAATGATGATCTGAGGGTTTGAAACCCCGAATTGCACATCGTAGTGCTATATTGAGGTGAGGCACACGCTCGATGACGAGTGTGGGGTTGTGCACTATTGGAGATTGTGACTTGGTCCGTCCTGATTGATGATTTTACCGCGTATTTGATTGAAAACTATTTGCTATCATTATTATTTGGCTGAATGTCATATTTGGGCCTAGTGCCAAATATTTGAAACCTTCGGGGCTTTTTATTGATATTTCCTCACTGTTTTGACTTTATACTTGAACTCAATCATATTATTTTCCATTGTTTCTATACTCAGCCATGTTTACTCAGTTTTAAATACTTAAATGATCTTTTAAATGATAATTAGGCTGAGAATCACTATTTTACTATTGCCCAAGTAGATTGTGAGGATTTTTGACTGAGTAAGGCCGAGGGCCTATGCTATGAAAAAATATTTGATACTGATTATGAGGCCGAGTGCCTGAGTTATGTATGCCACAATGTGGCTTGATTGATATGAGGCCTAGGGACTAATGATGATGCCATGAGGTTGCTTGATATTGCGCTTGGGCCGTAAGGGGCCCCTCCAGGAGTCTGCACACCCCAGTGAGTGCGGGTACCCATTGTGATGTGAGATTGAGCCCGAGGGGCTGGTATTGTTCTGAGATATTGCCTGAGGGGCGGATTCGTTGATACTGTGCCCGAGGGGCGAACTTCTATTTGTTTACTTTACCTTCACTGCCTGTCAACTACCTATTTATTTGTTAAATAATGATTTTACTTAACTTTTCACTGGTTTACTGCTTTTAAATGGTTTTACTGTTTCATTATAGAATGCCTTGTGCCTTATGTGTTTTCTTACTTTCAGTCGTTATTTACATTTGTTACTCACTGAGTTGGAGTACTCACTTTACTCCCAGCACCCTGTGTGCAAATTCAGGCGTAGCTGGTCCGGCTCCCGAGTGCCGATTCATTCCAGCTTCAGGCGGATCTCGAGGAGTCTTTAGGTAGGTATTGGCGCTCGCAGCCCGGAGCTCCTCCCTATCTCTTTTCTTTATGTCCTTAGTTCAGTACCAAACTCTGTAGTTACATTTGAGTGTTCAGCGTTGTTAGATGCTCGTGACTTGTGACACCCCGGTTAGGGCTGTGTCGGGTTGTACTTCCGCACCTTATTGATATTATCCGCTATTTAGTATTATTAAATCATGCTTTAGACTGCTTCTATGCTGTTTAACTGTCTAAAAATGTGGATTGGGTTTAATTGGCTCGCCTTGTCTTCACGAGAGGCACCATCACGATCGGGTTTGGATTTAGGGTCGTGACACTTTTGAGGTCGTTGATGTTCTAAACATATATTAGTAACACTAATATAAAAACTTTAGAAGAACCAATAAGCTATGTGGCACTTAACACTTCAATTAACACTAAAATAACACCATAATTCAAGTTTGCTTCTTCTAACATTTATTTAATCCAAAAAGAAAAAAGCATACATATCTAACATATCATTCGAAAATTAATCAAAATAGTCTCATATGGTACCTTCCAAATTGCATATCAATATCAAATATCACTAACAAGATCCCAACACCTGAACTCAGAATTGATGATGCATAACCATAAATTATGCATCTTTTGAAAACTAAAGTTTGCCAAATTGTAAAAATTTTCAGTCTTTTCTTTTGTAAATTAGAAATTTCCATCCCCAAATATATATAAAAAATCAAGGGTGATGATACTCATATTCACTTAGCCAAAGAATGACCAAAGCAGTAACTGAACATCATGAAAAACACAATTAACCTAAAACTATGATTCCACAAAAGATGTAGAAGAAATAAACATAAAGTGTCTTTAAATTTCTATAATAAAAGAGAACATAATTAGATAAAGAGATAGAGAAAAGGAGAGATGCTTACAGGTATTTAGAAGAAAAGGGGAGAAAGAATGGAGGCGACAGAGCTTAGCGGGTGGAGAAGGCGAAGAGAGCAAAATCACTGTTGGAAGTTTGAGAGAGTACAATACCAAGATTAGTGTTGCCGTCTTCACTTTTCTCTAAGTCCTAACCTAGGTTTGAAAGCCAAAAGTTTTGATCCCTTTCCTTTTGCTATGACGCTTAAGTTTCCCGCTTCTGTTCTTCGTATTTTTTTCAGTTGTAAAAAAAATTATATATTAAAGCTTTTATTATCTTGGAAGTAAATTATGAATAAATTTTTTTAAAAGTTTAGATTATAACCATAAAATTTGTAAAAACTTTTCAAAGATTACTTTTTAAATTTTAAAATTTTATTTGTGACCATCTATGTCAATTTAACATAATAAAAGATAATTTATATTTATTAGAAAAAATATTAATTTGTTTGGATAAAAAATTATTCCGAAACAATGAAAATAATGAAAAAAAAAATGTTAATTTATTGTAAATCCTGAAAAAACAAAAAAAATTGTGTGGGAATGTCGTATGACACTATTTTGATTAATTTTCGACTGATATGTAAGATATGTATGCTTGACAAAATTATTTTTTCAAAAATATTACTTTTTTCAATATAACTAAGTCATTCCTAACTTCTCCCCACAAAAAATATTTTGTAGACTCTTAAAAATCAAATTCAAATATTTCTTAAATTTGTGTGTACCCCATGATTTTCTCGAAATCGTTACGTTTATGCAATTGCTATCTTCCTCACATTCATTACCTACACGACGAAGAGCATTTATCGTCCATAATACTTAATATGATCTAGCTAAGGTCATGTAAAAAAGATATTGGGGACATATAAAAAATATGTACATAGAATAAACCTATACACTTTTATCTATGATCGAACTTCTTCAATATGATAATTGTCTTCCAAACATATATTTTAATTTATCTTATACTTAAGATAAAATAATTCTTTACTATTACTTTTAACTTATTCTCATGCGCTCTGATTATCTTGGTTTAATTTTTTTATTTGCAGTGATATATGCATAGCTAAATTAATAAGCTTAAGAAGTAGAGATAATAAATTTTAAATCGGTGCAAAAATAATTCAGTAAGTAACAAAATTCTCAATACAACATATGTGATTTTCAAAGACAGTACTGTGACTCAAGCTCGGAGCAAGTAAATCATTATGCAAGAAAAAAGATAAATCCCAGAATGACGGAATCCTCAGCTAAATCACCAAGAAAAATATTCTAGCTAACCTCGCAATACACAAATCCTCAGCTAATCACACAAGAAATTAAATCCTCGGGTATTTCGCCATGGAAATATTTAGGTGAAACCGCTTCAAGATATTCCCAGGCAATTTCCTTGTGTAAATAAATACGCGGGTAAAAGGTAAATAAATCGCAGCTAAATCCCTATTAAAAAATTCCTATGAAAATATTCGCAAGTAAAACCCAAACAATAAATCCCCAGGTATTTTTCTAGGTACATAAATCCCCTGGTAATTCCCCAGGAAATATTTTCCATGTAAAACTGTAGAAAACTAACCCCACATAATTCCCCAGGAAAACTAAATCCCTAGGTACATCCCCATGAAATAATCCACAGCAAATTCCGTATGACAGTTACCTGGGGAATTTTCTGCCAACTCACAAACGAAAAAAATATTTTACCTACGAATTCACCTACGGATAGAGGATTTGCCGATTATTTTCCCAGGTAATTCCCCAGGTAATATGTTTGCGTCTAATAGCGCCAAAATTACCTGCGAATTTGTCAAGGGAAATTAAATTCGCATGTATAATATTTTATAATTTAAGATTTTTAAATTTTGGCAAGAAAATCCGCAGGTAAATCTGGCTAGGTAACTACCTTTTTCTAGTAGTGTTATGAAACTGGTCATGACCAGCAGCTTTCATGAGTATATCAGCCAATTGGTTATGTGAAGAAATAGGACGAGGCATGATTGTCTTTGACTATACGTATTGCCGAATGAAATGACAATCTATCTCGATGTGCTTTGCACATTCATGAAAAACAGGATTGGCGGCGATATGCATAGCAGCTTGGTTATCACAAAAAAGAGAAACATGTTCTATATGTGTTACTTGAAGATCTTGTAGAAGCCGAAGTAACCAAACAATCTCACTGGTAGTAGTGGCCATGGCTCTATATTCCGCTTCAGCAGAGGAACGAGAAACCACTGTTTGTTTCTTAGATCTCCAAAAAATGGGTGATTTGCCAAGAAACACAATGTATCATGTAGTTGATCACCGTGTCATTGGAAAACCTGCCCAATCGGCATCGCAGTAGGCTCTTATAGATATAGAATTATCCGAAGGAAGTAGAATCCCTTGACATGGATTTCCTTTGAGATAACGTAAAACTCTATAAGCAGCTTCTAGATGAGGTTGTCTTGGTGCATGCATGAATTCGCTAAGCATATGAACAACATAGTTAATATCTGGACGAGTGATAGTAAGGTAAAGCAAGCGTCCTACAAGACGACGATATTGCCCCGGATCATTACAAACTTTTCTAGAATCAAGAGAAAGCTTATATTGTTGCTCCATGTGGAAGCTAGCCGGCTTGCAACCAGTGAGTCCACTTTTTGCTAAAATATCAAGTACGTACTTGCGTTGGGTTAATGAAATGCCTGTTGGTGACCTTTCCACTTCAATACAAAGAAAATATTTGAGCTTTCCAAGATACTTGATATGAAATTTTGCATTTGAATGATCTTTCAGCTTGGATATGTGATCAGAATCGTTTCCCGTAATAATGAGATCATCCACATATATGTGAACCGCCACATAAGATCCTCCAAGATGGGAAAATGTAAACAAAGAATAGTCTACATGTGATTGCTGAACACCAAGAGAAAGAAAAGAAGTAGTAAACTTATGATACCAATTTCGAGATGCTTGACGAATGCCACATAGAGATTTTTGTAATCGACAAACTCTCTGCTCTTCATGTAGACTTTTTCTTTCAAGTCTCCATGTAGAAAAGCATTGTTGACATCTAATTAATGAAGTTCCCAATTCTGAATCGCCGCAACCGCTAACAGACAACGTACCATGACAAATTTTGCAACAGGTGCAAATATTTCATGAAAATCAACCCCTTCAATTTGAGTGTATTATTTTGCTACCAAGCGTGCCTTGTAGCGCTCAATACTTCCATCGGGTTTATATTTCACTTTATAGACCCATTTTGAGTCTATAGCTCGTTTACCTGGAGGTAAAATCTGCAATGTCCAAGTATGGTAGGCTTCTAAAGAAGAAATTTCTTTTGACATGGCCTCTCTCCAATATGTGTGCTTAACTACTTGAGTAAAAGATTTTGGCTCATCGGTGGATGAAATGACCGCCAAAAAAACAACATAATTGGAGGATAGTTTAGAATATGAAATAGAGTAAGATAAAGGATGTCTCGTTGAGTTGGCTGATGGAGTAGATAAGAGTGGTTGATCATTCAACTTGGCAAGAGAAGGGGGCAAAACATAATCATATCCTGACAACTTTTGTGAGACTTGTCGCGAGCGTTTACCAAGTCCAAGGCTAGGATGATCAATACTATCAGATGTATTAGTAAGATCGCTACTATCAGTTGGTGGTGGTGGAGAAGTGCTTGTGGATGTATTTTCTGAATTCTCAATGGCACTACAATTCTCAACTGTAGTACAATTCTTATTCGTCTCATGTTGCTCTATGTAATTTGGTTCTTGTCCAGATGGCTCATCAAATGTAATCGGTTGACTCAAGTCAATTTGTGGCATAATCTTTGTCTTTTCTGAACCTTCAAAAGGATAAATGTGTTCAAAAAATTGGACATCGCGCGAAACATAAATTTTTTTATCCTCAAAATCATAAATTCTATATCCCTTTTGACTGCTAGGATATCCAACAAAAATGCCACGTTTTGCACGTGGAGCAAATTTATCTTGAGACTTGCTATTCATATGTCCATAACAAAGACATCCAAAGTTTCTCAAATGATCATATGTAGGTACTTTACCAAATAGCTTCTCATATGGGGTTGTATTTTGTAGACTAGAAAGAGGCATTCGATTAATTAAATATGCTGTAGTAAGGACACATTCTCCCCAAAACGTGATGGGTAGATGTGCTTGAAAACACAATGCACGAGCCACTTCCAAAAGATGTCTATGCTTCCTTTCAACTACTCCATACTGTTGTGGAGTATTTGTACAACTACTTTGACGCTCCATGCCATAATCAAAATAATATGACACTAAATCTTCATGATTAAATTCCAGTCCATTGTCTGTTCTTAGGATTTTAATTCGCAAGTTGAATTGCGTGTTTACCCAATTGAAAAATTATAACAAATAGACTTTAGTTACCGATTTATTCTTCATGAGAAAAAGCCATGTTGCTCGACTGAAATCATCAACTATAATGATAAAGTAATGAGTTCCAGAAAGAGATTGTGTCTTGTATGGCCCCCAAATGTCACCATGTATTAAATCAAAAGCATGATTTTTCTTAATCAAACTAGTGGGGAAAGATATTCTCATTTGTTTTGCCTTACAACAAGCATCACAAAACATAGTTTTCTTGCCATCAAGGCTAACAGATAAACTAGGAACTAGAGAAATATGATTTATTGGTAATGCCCCAACCGTTGATGCCATAAACTTGCACTAACAGACTTCTTCACCATTAATGCTTGACCCCCTTCCATCGGCTCCAAGTAATAAAGACCATTCCGCTTTATACCCACTCCAATCGGCGTCCTCGAAGGTAAGTCCTGAATCACAAAAGAATTAGACAAAAAGGTTATTGTACATTGTAAGTCATTTGTAAATTTGCTTACTGACAATAAATTAAAACAAAAATCAGGAACTTCTAGAACATGTTCAAGAATCAATCTTTTCCCAAGAGCCACCTGGCCCAAGGAATGAACGTTCACCATATCACCATTTGGAATTTGCACTGGCGGTAAATTGGTCAGACTATTTTATTTGACAAAGAATTTATATCACGAGCTATATGGTTTGTAGCACCCGTATCAACTATCCACTCCTCTTTTGTCTTACCTGAAAAATTAGATGCTGCCATATTTACTGATGGATTACCTGTAGAAGCTCCCTGGTTTCCCAATATTGGTAATAGTTTCTAGTGTTGA